TGGGAGAAGGTAGTTTGAGGGACTTAACTTGAGCAACATGAGGGCACTGGAAACCCATCTTAAAATAAGTAAAGAATAATTCAGAGGCACGCTGAATGGACTTGATATCTACAGTTGTAGTCTACAGTTGGTAGACTGGGCTCTCACAGAGAAGCTTCTTAATATAATCACTACTCATTATTGCTCTGCAAAGCATTTAAGGTGTGATAAGAAAATTTTCCTGTACAGGAATGTGATGTGATATCTTTTTAAAAAAAAAATAAAAAAAAGCAACATATATGCATTCTCTTACTATCTTACCAGCAGTGAATTTGCCTTTCGGTTAGCTACCCTCTTTCTGCTGGTATCACTGAGCCTGTGAAGGAAGGTTTTGCAGCATGGTTCTTCTGAAGCTGGCTGATTTTAGGTCTTCTTGACTAATGTTGTAAACTACTTAGCTGTCCCTACATCCCTCCTAAAGAGAATTTTTCATTTCAAATATGAGATAACACCAACATCCCTAATATTAACACTCCTTAGCCCACCTACTTTGAAAAGCATAATTTTTCTCCATCAGCCACTTTTCTCTTCTTGGCAGTAGTTATAGTGGGAGTTTAAAATTTTATATGGAAAATGGCCCATTTTGTTCCCATCACCAATGCTCCTTGCTACCAACCTCTATGTCTGACCCATGCAACTAAGCTCACAACAGATCAGTTGATTCAGATGACAGATCACTGAAGTAGAGGAAACAGATGGGGCCAGGCTGGGCTTGGTTTACTCTGGACCTCATTTCCATTCAAGGCAGAAAAATGTTCCTGAAATTAGATCATACAAATTTGAATGGCCATGGACAACCTATCTAGGACCTGAGTCAACAGGTGTCACTCAGTGTCATGAAGAGCAAGCAGGGATTCTCAGCCTGATAGGCCTGTGTGTGAATTCCAGCTCTGGAAAAACACTTGTCACTTCAATTCTCTCTTCTGGTAAGTGGGACTCATGTCTGGCTTGAAGCTCTGTTGTGAGGACTAATGAATTATGTAAAGGTCCTGGCACAGGGGAAGTACGGCAGGTGGTTAAGAGTGCACGTGAAGTCCTGAGCCACCTGCCTATTGCTGCACACGGCAGAAGCATAACAAATGTTGGTTTCCTTCTTCTGTCCTTGTCCCATATACCTCAGCAGCTTCCCAAATTTGCTGGCATCAGGATTCAGATGCAATTCAGTGAAGGTATTGTCATGGGTGGAATTGTGCTTCCTCCCTTCCAAGTGCATCTGTTGAAACTCTAACCCCCAGTACCTCAGAATGGAAATATGTTTGGAGACATATCTTTAAGGAAGTGATTAAATTAAAATGAGGTCTTCAGGGTGAGTGTCTTTATAAGAAAAGAAAATGCACACCGCAGGGACATGTGTGCACAGGGAAAGACCATGTGTGGACACATTGGAAAGTTGGCCATTAGCAAGCCAAGGAGAGAGGCCACAGAGAAAACCCAACCTGCTGACCTCTTGATCTTGAACTTCTACCCTCAAGAACTGTGAGAGAATAGATTTCTGTTGTTTAAGCCACCAATGGCGTGGTATCTGGTTATGGTGACGCTAGCACATTCATCCAGTGAAATAATGTCAGTAAAACCAATATGAATGAAAATCAAGCCATATGTTGTCAGCAAAGAAAGATAACTTTTTAATAAGTTGTCTAGCAAAGGGTTTATTTTTATTTTTTATAACTCATATTCCTATGAGCAGTATCAAATAATTTGGGCCTCACATGCTAGAAAAACAAAGCTCTCCTCCCTTTCTATTCTAAGAAAGACATTTATTTTACAAGCATACTTTAAAAAATGATCACTTAGAGACTTCCGGTCAAGATGGCAGGTAGGTAAATGCAGTATCGCGTCCTCCCACAACCACATTAAAGTTACAACTAAACTACAGAACAACCATCAGTCAAAACCTCCTGAAATCAAGCTGAATAGATGTCCTACAACTACAGAATTAAAGCAGCAGCCACATCGAGACTGGTAGGAGGGGCAGAGGCGCGACAGGCTGGTCCCACACCCACGTGTGGCGGATAAAAATCAGGAGGACACCTTGGCTGGGAAGGTCCTTCCTGAGGACTGAGGGGTCCCCGTCCCACACCAGGTGCCCTGCTCAGGGTTCCAGTGCCAGGAAGAGAATTCCCATAACTTGTGGCTGGAAAAACCAGCAGGAACTGAGGCTCAGGGAAGCTGACTCCCCAGGCAGCTCCTTAAAGGGCCTGCGCACGGACTTATTGGAGTCTCTCCCTGTAAGGTTGGAGGGGAGGCAGCTCGAGGGGCACCAGAGACATACAGGGAAGAACCGAACTGTTTGGCACTGGAGCGAGGGCTGGAGAGGGGGCTTTCTCCAGGACAAACGTGCTGTCAGAGGCCTTTGTTCCTTTGGTGAGCCCTTCCCGGGGGCGGCAGACAGTCGCCATATCTGGGACTCCAGCAACCTGGCTCACACTGGTAGCCCTGCCCTGGTGACTCCCTGAGGCCCCACCCTGCCCCACCCAACTTTCAGGCCCACCCAAGCTGTTGCCACTTGCTTAACCATAGGATTGGTCAGTCTTGGATCCTGCTTCAGATTTTTCCTAAATTCTTTCAAACAAGCAGCATCTGGTCTCAGCTAGCCCCATACCACTCATTAAGTAATACACAGAAACAAACACAGGGAGGCAGCCAAAATGAGGAGACAAAGAAACAGGTCCCAAATGAAAGAACAGAACAAAACCCCAAGAAAAGAACTAAGTGAAATGGAGATAAGCAACCTAACAGATGCTGAGTTCAAAATACTGCTTATAAAGATGCTCAATGTACTCAGTGAGAACATCAGTGAACTTAGTGAGGGCCTCAAGAGCATAAAAAAGGACCAGTCAGAAATGATGAATGCACAGTCAGAAATGAAGGAGGCATTAACTGAAATAAAGAATAATTTACACAGATTCAATAGTAGAGTACGTAAATCCAAGAAGCAAACCATCGATTTGGAATATAAGGAAGCAAAAAATGCCCAATCAGAACAGCAAAAAGAAAAAAGAATAAAAAAAAATGAGGATAGTGTAAGGAGCCTCTGGGACAACTTCAAGCGTGCCAACATTCACATTTTGGGGGTGCCAGAAGGAGAAGATCGAGAACAAGAAGTTGAAAACCTGTTTGAAACAATAATGGCAGAAAACTTTCCTAACTTGGTGAAGGAAACAGACATACAAGTTCAAGAAGCAGAGAGTCCCAAATATGAACACCAAGAGGCCCACACCAAGACACATCATCATCAAATTGCAAAAGGTTCAAGACAAAGAGACAACCTTAAAAGCAGCAAGAGAAAGGCAGCTAGTTACCTACAAGGGAGTTCCCATAAGGCTGTCAGCTGATATCTCAAAAGAAACTTTGCAGGCCAGAAAGGAGTGACAAGAAATATTCAGAGTGATGAAAAGCAAGAACCTACAACCAAGATTACTCTATCCTGCAAAGCTGTCATTTAGAATCGATGGCCATATAAAGAGTTTCCCAGACAAGAAAAAGTTAAAGGAGTTCACCGTTATTATATGAAATGATGAAGGGTCTTTTTGAAGAAAAAGATAAAATATATGAACAAACAAAATGGCAGTGAATACATATCTATCAACAATGGAATCTACAAACAAAATGAACAGGTAGAACAGAAACATTCTCATAGATACAGAGAACTTTTGTTGGTTGCCAGATGAAAGGGGGTTTGGGGGAATGGGGGAAAAAGGTGAAGGGATTAAGAAGTACAAATTCATTGCTAGACTGACAAATCTCAAAGGGAAATGGGTTGGGGGGTGGGAAGAAATAAACCAAAGAACTTATATGCATAACCAATGGACACAGACAATAGTGTGGGAAAAGGCGGGAGGGGGGCGGGAGGGGGGAGAAGGGGGTCAATGGGGGGAAAATGAGGAACATCTGTAATACATTTTACATCCAACAATAAAGATTTAAAATTAAAAAAAAAGATCACTTAATGTAAGTTTTAAGACCATAAACGAGTGGCAGTATAGCAAATCAATTTTGTTGTTTTTTTATACTTACTTTTATCATTGTAATTGTTGTAACAGACATGCATCCATTTAGACCACTGTTTCTGAGAGCCATTAATTTTGCACTGACCACCAGATGAGAATTATTAGGTTAGCCTCCATAGAGCAAGACCATCAGCAATGTGTCTCACAGGAGGTAGCACTGATGGCACCTGACATTTTGCAGGCAAGGTGTAGATTATCCACTGTTTCTGTATTGCTAAATAGCTCTTTCATATCAAAAGCATAGATCAATTCCATTTTCTTTGCTTCATTTTGTCTGATTCATGTTCATAAAGGCAATTTGTCTTCTGGACAGAAATACAGTTGCTAAATGTTTTAGGCTTATATCACAATTGTTATTTGATGGTAAAGTTGATGATTATGTGCAACCTTGGGGAAATCTTGGGACATATCTATAAAATAACCATAATAGACCCCAGAGCAAATGCTTACTTGGGATTGATCCAGATCTGAGATCTATGAGTGAGTGAACTGATTACAGTTCAGTTAAACACCTTGTTACTTATCCACCTATAGGGGAAAAGTCTAGGATAGCCCTTCTTATATCAGCCCAGAAAAGTTAGTTACATCCACTTTTTTTTTTTCCTGGACAAATGACTCTGGATTGGTGCAAAGATTCACTGATATGGTTTTCAGTGGCATCATTCTTCTATCCATATGTTTTTCACAGCAAACTATGTTAGTAGTATCAATACCATGTTAGTAAAAGTTTCATAAAAGCAGAGCCTCTCTTAAAAATCTTTCATCCAGACCACAAGCCACAGCCAGCTTCCTGTTACTTGCTCCCTAGGTTATTTGGCATTTACATGGCAGATCTTCACCTGTTCTACTACTCTAGCTCTAGATCAGCCAGAGAGGATTGCAGTGAGACCAAAGAGATCTGTGTCAAGTGCCTGGATGACTGGGTGTCCTCTGGGAGTATTTGAACATCACCTCTAAATGATCTGTTGCATTGTTCATAAATTTCTTCAAGCTCTTCCTGGGGTTATTTTTCTTTTACTGCATTCCAGAAAGCCCTTTGGCTCTAGGGAAGGTTAGCTGTTGCTTCATTTTGCGAGGTGATGGCTGGGTATAAATCTGTCTTGCTTAACCAAGTTGATGAAGGGCTGAAAATCAGGATGGCTCAATGAAATTCACTGTTAAAGAATAAGAATTAAACTGATAGTTTCTGGCTTCTCCACAATGAAACCTATCACATTTTCTCTGAAAGAGTATTCAGCTGATTTATGTAAAAGTTCCCTTTTGCCATTTTCTATGACATTGCTGTGGGCAAAGACCCAAGTGAAGGTGAAGTGGCTAAGGCAGGATTCAGACGGCCTAAAGGATGCCACACTAGGTCAGGGGCCCTGGGCAAGGGTAATACACCTACACCTTGCATAAATGATATTCATAGCGTCATTTTCTCAGCTTTTGTCGTAAGTAACGATATATTTTAGTTTTTTTGTTGTTGTTGTTCAAATATCACAGCAATTGTTAATATAAGGGGGAGTTCACTACAGTTCTTATTTTCCTCTAGAATAATGGCTTCTTCTAACCTTTATTTTCTTTAAATAAAAATGATGGTTATTTTTGTTTTTTTGTTTTTTCTGAAAGAGCTTTTCTAGGTTGAAGGAAATAATACAAACTAAATAAGAATGTTCAAAATATTGTCTCTGCCACTGGCAAATTACCTGCCTGCTTTTGCTGTTCTTACCCAAACTCAGCTGGAATTCCTATGACTGGCGTGTCCCCAGCTCAGTGGCAGGCCAGCCGCTCTGAGGACACGACACATAACCCAGTCGATAACTTGACCAGGGAAAACAAGTGTACACCTTGCTTTAATAGCAACGATTACCTTTTGCAATCACTGGATTTAAAAAATCGTTTTTATCTATTAGGAATTAAATTTTCTCTTTAAACAAATTTGCTAAGCATTTTCCCAAAATTTTCATGGGCAGCAAGAGCTGAAAAATAAAATTTGATAATGAAGATCATAAAAAAGTGATCTCTTATGGTCAGTGCTTTGGAAAACTTACCCAACAGGTTCACAGCTTTATAAAAATAAAGGAGTTCAATATTTAAATTATTCATCCTTTAACATTTCATAAACTGAGGTCACCTAATTTTTACACTTGATATTACATTTTATCTTTTCCATTTTTTACCCTAGCATTTTATAAGATGAATATTAAATTATTTATAATTTGAATTACTTTTTGTTCATTTCTCTCTGAGCCTTTTTCTCCCACAGAAACTGGCTTTTGCGGCCCGCAGACGTGCACTATCGGTGTGCCTCGGGGCCTTTCCCATCAGCAGACGTTCCACTATACCCACCCCCAGAAATGAGTTGGCCAAAACTATCAGCATGGTAACTTGACATGTGATAACAATAAAAGGTTCCCATGTCACCTTATAATATCATAAATCTCATTTATTTCTGTCAACAGAGGTAAAGGTTCATCATATTGCACTCTCCTTTTCTATGGAACAAGCACCAAAGGTCAGCACCTCCTAATTGGTCTCCGGGTTCAATCCAGGATAAACTGTGAAGCAATGCTTCTTCTGCCTGGCCAGTGTGGCTCAGTAGATTGAACATCGTTCCATGGACTGAGAGGTCCCGGTTCAATTCCTAGTCAGGACACATGCCCGGGTCTCAGGTTTGATTCCCAGTAGAGGGCGTGCAGCAGGCAGCCGATCGATGTTTCTATCTCTCTCCCCCTTCCTCTCTCTCTATAAAAATCAATAAAAAAATATTTAAGAAAAAAAGAAATGGCTTCCTCTGACATCTGTGTTTAGTCTAGACTGATACATTATCAAGAACTCACCCTCTGGTACTTTTTGGAATCTCAAGTACAGAAACAATTTTAATTTCATCTATGAGGTTATGCATATTTATTTTGACTATAGTTTCTTTTTGATGCAACATTTCTCCAAGAATTTCATATAGTAAATGATAATGAGAAATGTGTATGTTTTCCCCCCTCACAATTCCTACCAAGAAAACAAGCTTTCTTGTTTCCAACATGAAGTTTTGTGGCTAGCGCTCCAATACCAGCTCTAGTCATTGGTCAAAACAGCAAGTCATGTTTGCATACGCATCCAAAGCAAACAGTCTTATTGAGGAAGGTAAAATGTCAACAGAGAAGAAGAAAGTGACTGAAAAAAGCACCGAAAATAAAGTCCCAGAAAAATTCACCAACTATTATTTGATTGTAGTAGTTTATATGGCAACTCTAGACAGATGACTTAATTAGAACAGTTAGTGTAAAATGCCTTTGGAGAAGCTCAACCATAGGAAGAAATGTGATGTAGTGGCACACGGTAGCAAGAGGATAATGGAAGGGTGTACTATTGAGGGTGTGTGTGGGGGGGAGTTCATTTGCTGGTGAAATGGGATACTTGAGCATATGCAGAGTCTGAGAAGAATTAGACAGAAAACAAGGAGAGAATGAATAAGTCGAACCGAGGCTCTAAAGAAGCTCAGAGGAAATGAAATTAGTAGAAGAGATGGAGTGGTCAACCTTGAAGACAGGAAGGTCATTTCATCCTCTGAAAAGGAGGAAAAGAGAGGTAAGGCTGGGTAGGTGGGAGGTAGATAAGTTTGTAGGCTGGAGCAGAACCTAAGATAGATCTTTGGTTACTTCTATCTAAGAAGTATGAGGCAACCCGTATTTTGTCAGTTAAAGAGATGCAAGTAAAGAAAGGTGCTCAGGGAAAAGGGTACATATCTGTAACTACTGCTCTAGATAGGAATAAAACTAGACCAGAAATAAGCAGAGAAGCTGAAAGCAGCAGATAAACCACAGAACTTACATGCATGTGTGCGTGGACAATGGACATGGACAACAGAGCTGGGGGCAGGGCGGCGGGGGGGTCAGTGGGGGAAAAAGGAGAAACATCTGTAACAAATATAAATTAATTAATTGAAAATAAAATAAAAATGAAAAAAAAAGAAATGAGGCAGAATCATGACTGGCAAAGAAGGGGAAAAGAACTCAAATAATCTGGGTATGTGTATTATTTTGTTCTCTTTATCATGAAATATTTCTTTTATTAAATATTCACACTCCTGCCCTGGCCGGTTTGGCTCAGTGGTTAGAGATTTGGCCTGCAGTCCAGAGAGACCTGGGTTCAGTTTCCACTAAGGGCACATACCTCGGTTGTAGTTTGTCCCTGGCCCTGGTTGGGTCGTGCGGGTGGCAGCCACTCGATGTGTCCCTTCACGTCAATATTTCTCTCTCTGTCTCTCTTCCTCTCTCTCCCTCCCACTCTATCTGAACAAAAAATGGAAAAAATGTCCTCGGGTAAGGATTAAAAAAAAATTCATACTACTACTAAAAAAAAATAAAAATAAAAATATTTAGGTGTTTAAGGGAAAAAAAATAAAAAAGATGAACCACTACTTAACTGGCGCTCTCCAGCAACACTGTGGGTGGATGGAGCAGGGCATATGGATTGTTGGCAAGATCCAGATTTGGGGGTAGGAACAATAGAGTTAGGGAGAAACAAATGAAAAAGATCAGGAGTAGCGGAAACAGGAAGGAGTATGAGAAGGGAGTAGTTAAAAGAATGAACCGAGGCTGCAGAGGGAATACAACCAGAAAGACCTCAGGGACATGAGAAAGTGGGTGAGAGAGAGAGAACGTGTTGGTGAGGAGAAGTCAAATGACTGGAGGTCTTGCTGAATCGGAACAGCAGCTTTGGTGGGAAAATAAAAGGAGAGAGCCGGAAGCACAGAATGTTGCTGTCCACATGTGAACTGTCAGGTTGAGAGAGTTCAGGCAGAGCGGTCTGGAGCAGTGCTGAAGCCCAGGGCTGGCCTTGGAAGAGGTTTCTAAATCTAGGTGCCTTGGTGTGTGAACCGAAAGCTGATGAGGAGGTGAGGCCAAGGCACTGAGTGCTGTGTGGAAACCAACGACACCCTCCAAAGTTGGAAAGAAATAGACATACAGGAGCACATATTTCACAAACTTCAGGGAATGAGCTGGAGGTGAAAAGTAACAGCAACAAGGGCCAATGGAAGTTGCGGAAGAAGAAAAGCTTTGCTTTGTTTAAAAAGCAGAGATCTGTGTCAACAACGTGGAAAGGCAGGAGAACGCCTTGCCCACTCACTGGTTGTTCTGAGGCTTTTACAAAATAGTGGATTCAAAAGTCCTCCAAGGAGTGTAAATTATAACTTAAATTATTATTATTATTATTATTCATGTATGAAATTATATATAGACGTAGATATTAGAGCCTATCCACACAAAATTGTCAGTCTTATGTGGTATTAATACTAGCAACATTAGCAACTCTTATACTGTCTTGACCTTTATCTTAAGAGTTCATAAAACTCTTCATATGCACATTTCAGTGTTTTCTCACAACAATCCTGGGAGGTAACCAGAGTAGATACTTTTATCCGCACATGTGGAAACTGAGGAGCAGAGATGCCAAGTGATTTGGCGAAGGCCTATACCAGTGACAGAACCAGGACTTAAATTTTGATCATAGAAATTGAAGTCTTCTAACTCCGATAGGTAATAAAGATAAAAAGGGTTTTCACCAGGTGTTCATTTGCTTCCTGATTTTCCTGTATAACTGCACCCAAGGACACCTGTACTGTACACCTGATAACACTCCATTCAGCAGTTTTTTCTTCACCACCACATGTTAGAATAATAGAACTCTAGGAACTCAAATATGGAATTTTCAAGGAGACTCTATCCTCAACAGCCTGAAATATTTACTTATTGGTACAACTGCTCTTCACATCATCTCTTGGTACTAAAGGCAAACCCGTGATTCTGTTTCCACTGAAAACGAATACAGAATCATTTTTCATTGTTGTTGATTTTCAGGAAAATATGATGCTACTCTTAATACAAACATGTCTAGACTATCCAAACAATGGGAGTGTTTCTATATCAAAGACATTCTCAAAATAGATTGTTTAGCTGGCAGTCTCTCTCTTACCTGAAGTTATGCTTCAGTAATGACTATACTTTTATGTTGATGCTTGCCTAATGACCATATTTTAAAATCAGCGAGCCTTGGTTTTATCGTCTGTAAAATGTATAATCCCCAGGATTGATGTGACGTTCGGTTTTCGAAGTGCCCGCATAGGACCTTACACCTGTTAAACATTCAGTACATAGCAAGGGTGATTTTAATCAGTCATGACCTGGCATCCTGCTTGTCATCGTTACAGTATTTCCTTCCTTTGCCTGAACTGTGTCACCACATTGGCACCAACTAGAGGAAAGCGACCGTTGCGACCATGAGTCTGAAACCACACTCTCACTGAGGAGGCACTCACAAACCCACAGCTTAACACATGACGTAGACAGGGAGGGCTCTCTTTAAACAAGACCCAAAAACCTTAATACAAAGAGAAAACATTTGGCAAATACACCAACATTAATAGTAAGAACCCCTGTTGTTTAAGACATGTGAAAAAGAAAGTAAAAAGACAAGTCACCAGTGAGGACCTATATTATATCAACCCAACAGTGTGAGTCATGGTTACTATGTGGGACACTGGGCAACGACCAGTCAACGGTTTTGCAAAACACTGCAGCTGGTCCTGCTTTTAAAAGTCAGGAAAGGCAGGTTTTCAACTTCCTCTTCTTTTTGCTGCCTAATATCTTTCTGTACCTTGGTTCATGCACAATTGGATCCTCATCATACAAACACACCAACATTTGTGCAAAGTCCTGCAGTCAGGGCATGGCTCTCCCGTAGCCTCTGCCTCGGTCCCACTCCCTAATGCAGGGCTTAGGGCTGGCCGGGGCTCCTTCCACCTCCTCTCAGTTCTGCCCTGTGCTGGGTCTCCACCCCGGACCACTCTTAGACGTCCCTTCCTCCCACCTTCCCTGCAGGGCAGCCTGGTGCCTGGTAAACGGTGAGTACCAACGTTACGCTCTGAAGGAGACTGAAATCAGGCCCCCTGATGCCAAGGGCTGGGCTGGGGAGGGAGGGTGCCGGGAGAGAAAGCAGCTTCAGTTGAGAAACTTTAATGTTAAGTTTCCCTTTGGAATAAAAACCTATGCCTATCTAGATGAAAGCACTGGAAATAAGCAAAATGGCAGTGGGAGCCCAACCTGGAAATGCAAGCCAACTGCACCTTCCCAGACTAATCTGATCCAGGTCCTGATTCCTGCCCAAACGTCAGGATGGGGACGAGGCCAGAGCAGATAGATGTACTATGCAATGCCTAACTGTTCTTGCCCAATTAAACTGGGTACAACGGATTCTGAATAATCCAGATAGTCTTTAACAATAAGGGACACACTTCTGGGGCATTATTATGCGTCAAGCACTGTCCTTAGCATGTGACACTTATGAATTCACTTATTTCTCAGTACAACCCCTTAGAAAGTGTCCATCGGTCTATTGTTAGGCTGAAACACGTAAAATTGCCAACACCCGACCATTCTGACCTGCAAAGAGCAGCTGTGCGTGGCTCACCTGCACCGTGTCTGCACTGCGCCGAAGAGACGAGCCAGACGCAGAGCGCTCCGGGAACTTGCCGGGCCCAGGCCATCGGGCTTCTGTTTCCGTGGTTCTTATTGGTTACTGAAACACACCACCTCTCTGTCACGCTGAACTAAAATGACAGAAATGGTTTCTTCCAATTAAAAATGCTGTCTACGAATCTGTGCCCCGTCGTCCCGCCTCCACACACACCTGTCTCTTCTTGACGGGCCGGTTCCTTTTGGCACCACTGCTCACCAGGCCCTCACCTGGAAACCTCAGCATCGCATTTGATTTCTGTTTCTATTTCTCTACGACCAGAATCCAAATACTATTTCTTAAGTCCATCTCAGCAGGAGCTGCAAAGTCACAGGGTGTGACAGCTGGAAGGGGCTTGAGAGAGACCTAGTCGTTTCGCCAGTGCAGAGTCACCGAGCCAGGCGGTAGCAGCCTGGGCGAGAGCCGGTGCTCCTGGGCTCTGGTCCGCTCTTCCCTCCCTACCACAGGCTAAAGCTATGGATCATGCCTCTGCCTCTCCGGAGCTTCGGGACCAAACGCTTCCATGTGACGACAACTCCAATCTACGGCATTTACTATTATAAACCCCATTTGACAAATAGAAAACTGAAGCACAGAGAATTTAGTGGTTTACCTTGGGTCTCACAGGTTGTAGACTAGTTCCAAAAACCATGCCCTAGACCACCTGGCCGGCCACCTGCCCTTTGTTTCAGTGGGCAAAGCTCAGGCTTAATGCCTTTAAAGGGGAAGCAGTTCCTAATTCTCCCTTCACCCTAGGTTGAGTTGAAAGTCTAATCTGCCAAACTTTCAGAACCCTCATTAAATATCACTTTGGATGTAAGTGACTAATTATTGGACTGTTCTTGCCACTGGATTGCAAATACCTTAAGGCAGTGGTTCTCAACCTGTGGGTTGCGACCCCTTTGGGGGGTCGAATGACCCTTTCACAGAGGTCACCTAAGACCATCAGAAAACACATATTTCCAATGGTGATTCATAATAGTAGCAAAATTATAGTTACGAAGTAGCAACGAAAATAATTTTATGGTTGGGGGTCACCACAACATGAGGAACTGTATTAAAGGGTCATGGCATTAGGAAGATTGAGAACCACTGCCTTAAGGGAAGTGACTATTTTACTATTCTCACAGGATTTGACATAACGCCTGACTGTAATCACTATATAAAGATTTGTTGAATGGCCATCTGACTAATGCTCCTGCCTTCCATGTCTCCTTAGTCCAGCCATCTCCCATGCTGATGTGAGTTGGGGAAACTAAGGAGACACTTAGTTGTAAGAGCAATGGAGAAAGGTACGCCCTTCATTTATCTTCCTTAACAACCACAGATAAGCCTTTTGATTGTTGTTCTCTAAATGTTTGGTCATGAGCTTATCGCACTATTGACATGGTAATTTTGTTCTCTTCATAGTCACTATATCTCAGACCCAAATTGTTTTAAATTTTCTATTTGGACTTTTAAGGGTGAAATAAACTAATTTATTTTATTTTACCTAACCCCTTAGACCAGAAATTAGATCCCTACAAACAGGTCAAGGAAGTACTTTGATCTTAACATGGAGGGTCCTAGAGTATTCATAGTCACAGTGGGCTTCAGAAGTCATGACAGTAAAATAGATTTTACTTTCATTTTTCAAAAAAACTATGTTTTTATTGATTTTTTTTTTTTCTAGAGAGATAGGAAAGGGTAGGGAGGGAGTGATAGAAACATCAAGGTGATCAGCTGCTTCCTCCATGAGCCCTACTGGGAATCCAGCCTGAAACTTGGGCATGTGTCCTAACCCGGAATCACACTGGTGAGCCCTTGGTGCATGGGACAATGCTCAATCCAGTGAGCTGCACTGGCTGGGTGAGATCTTAAATGATTTTATGCCTAAATTTGTTCGTTCTAACTGAGGGTTTCCCAGTGTTTGGAATCATATGAAAAATTATAATAAATAGTGTTGAGTCAGCTGGATTTCTAAAGGGAAAAATGCATTTTTATTTCTCACATCATATAATACAATTAACTCCAGATGGATAGACCTTAGTGTGAAAGACAAAACATTGAACTCTTTAGAAGAAAACTTCTTTCTGTCCTAAGAGTAGGCAAAAGCACTAACCACAAAAGAATGATACTAATAAATTATATTTGATGAAAATTAAGAACTTACATTCATGAAAAGAAAAAATTAACAGACTGTAAAGGAAAGCCACATTTGGGATAAGAGATATGACGTTCAAAATACATGTATTCAACACAGGAACTGTATCTAGAATGTGTAAAGCATATGTGCAAATCATTGTAAAAAAGACAACAGACAAATGGATAAACACTTGGGCACTTCTCAAGAGAAGATACCCAAAAGACCCAAACAAATATGAAAAGGTACTCAATCTTGTCCATCATCAAAGAAATATAAACAAGCATACAACCATACAAATATATACCATACAACCATTTTCCCACCAAAATGGCTAAAAGGAGGACAGAAATCAAGCAGTGTTGATAAGGATCTGAAACAAGGACATCTCTTAACTACTGCTCCTGGAGTATAAACTTACAACCGCTTTGGAAAACTCTTCAGCAGATTTCAGTAAAGCCCTCTTTACAAAGCAATCCCATGCCTAGGTACACCCAACAAAATGTGTACAAAGACAATCACAAGAATGTTTCTAGCAGCACTATCCCTAAGAATCCCATAGCGGTAAGGACACAGTTGTTCAACAGTAGAACAGAGGGACTGAATGTGGTCTATTCACAGCATGGAGCACTGTGCAGCAAGCAGTGAGAAAGAATGATCTACAGATTTACACAGTTTGGGTGAATCTCACCAACATGATGTTGAGTGAAAAAGCCAGACACTAAAAAAAGTATTCAATAGGATTTCCTTTATATAAACTCTGGCAAAGCTAATCTATGTTTGAATCTAACTAATCTATGACGTAGAAGTCAGAAGAGTGGCTCCTTTGGGGGACAAATAAGTAGTGAGTGGAGGAGAGCATGATGGGGGCTTATGGAGTACCCAAGTGTTTGGTTTGTTTGTTTGATCTGGAACCTGGAATCTAAGAGATGCTCGAATGTGTTCAACTTATTGCATTTACAGTCTATTCACTTTTCCACATGTAAATTATACCTCATAAAAATAATAAAGATCACATGGAGAAAAAACTCTTGATGAAGCCACAGTTATTACTTATGTTCATTATGAACTCATACCTACAATGCGTATAATGTTGTTTTGGGGGGGTTATTTTTATTTTTTGTAACACAAAAATACTTAGTAAATATAATTTCATCACCATATTCCACGGTAGTAAGGGGGAGTCAGTATTACTTTCCTGGGTGTTAGGGGTTGAATTGTGCCCCCTGCTCCAAACTCATATATTGAAGTCCTAAACCACAGGATCTCAGAATGTGACCTTATTTGGAAATAAGCTGTTGTAGATGTAACTAGCTACGATGAGGTTATACTGGATTAGGGTAGGCCTGTAATCCAAAATGACTAGTCTCCTCATGAAAGAGGACATGTGGACACGGACTTAGACGTGCACAGAGGGAAGACTAAGTGAACACACAGGGCGAAGATAGCTACCTACAATGCAGAAAGAGAGGCCTGGACCAGACCCTTCCCTCACAACCCTCAGAGGGACCAACCTGCTGACCCACGATTTTAACTTCCAGTGTCAGATTTGTGAGACAATAGATTTCTGTTATTTAAACCACTCAGTTTGAGGTATTTGTTACAACCGCCCAAGCAAACTAATACATTGGAAAGACCAAAAGGTCAAATATCTTGCCTATGGACACCCAGCCAGATGGCAGAAAGGGAAGGTGATGTTAAAGGCTCCTGTGCACTAGAGGACCCCCTCCCACACACAGACACCCCTCAACTAGCATCGTACACAGTTGGCAAAGCTCCTCTAAAGAATGGAAGGTGCTATGGAGGGGAACGCCACGGTCCTTTTCCTGCTTCGGGACAACGTAGTGCTCTGAATCATGGGACTCACTGAAGAAGAACATGAAAACCTACGCCTCCCCAACAGTCTCTGGGCCCTGTGAGGAATTATTAGAAGGGCTCGTTCCTCACCTGGCAGTGGCCCAGGTGTGGAATATTTCAAAGAGGAAAAATGAGTAACTTGATTGTTCCCAAACGTTCTGATCTTGCTTCTGTCGTGACCTCTCTGAGAATCTGCTGAAAGTTGTAAACCCTCTCATCAGACAAAAGTCATATTCACCCAGGGTTAAGAGCATCGGTAAGGATTTTTAAGGCAGAGCGTCGGTTTTTTTGCTCTCTCTTCTGGAAATAAAGATGGGTGGCTAAAGAAAACAGGGTTTCCACTTGTCATCTCACCGGGAGGCAGCAATAACTAGTGGCTCTATGCCAAGACCCAAAGGTATTCTAGAAACTTTGTAACTTTCCCAGATTGGCTGTTTTTGCTCTTCCCCTATCTTTTCACAGGGTGATTTGTAGTTAATTACTTAAAACACAAAGAGATTGTGGGTCTATCTTAGGGGCAGAAAGAAAAGGAAAAGCAGAGGATGGAACCCACTGCATCGACAGGTTTGGGGAAATAGTGAGAAACTGGGAGGAAGAAAGCACAGGCTGACGGATCCTCAGGACTTGTGAATAAAGGAAGACATTGTCTCCTTAGGAAACAGTTTCATTCTCTCCCCTATGGACTTTATAATATTTTACTTTAACTCCATTTCCCATCACACCCTTACTACTCAGAGCTATGGAAAGGCAAGTCATTGCCTGGGGCGGGTGAGGAGGGGGAAGAAAAGAACATAAAAACATATGAATATTTTATGTTTTCACACTGAGGACCTTAACGAAAATATATCACAAACTTCTAAGTTGTAACTGGTTAAACATTGCTCAGTAGGGACCACTAAAGCTTAGGAGGAGATACTTTAACTTGTTCACTATTTGCAGCGCTAAACACCCTGTCTGACACATGGTCGACTGTATGAATGAAAGAATAAATAAATGAATGAGTAATTGAAGAATAAATGAATGGAATGGTCATGGGATTTGCAGTACTAAGGTTTGGATACTAGTCTACTCATCCATTTAATAGATACGTGACAAGTTACTTTATGTCTTTGGGACTGGCTTTCCTTTCTATAAAATGAGGCAACTGGACCAAGTACAGATAAGGTTCTCAGACATTCTACAGTG